TGGTGAATGGAGGAAGGCCCCCCTTCCCTTTTGTCCAAACAATGAAAAGAAAAGCTAGCATGGAAGGGTTTCAGGCCACGATGGGGACGTGTGGCTCCGTATAGGGTAGCATGTGAGTTTGTATTAAAAAGAAAAAACGAAGTGATGGATGAAGGTGAGGGTTGGAGGATAGTTGGTTTGTTTCACCAGAACAAAAAAGGTTTGGAAGATAAGGAAAGAAAAGAATCAAGGTGTTAAGCCTATCATTATGAGAAAAGCCTTTTAACAAATGGTCAAACGGAACGAGTTCATTTCCATATAACTACATTAGAGAAAAGTGTGAAAAGATTAGAGAAGTGAGCTGATTTCTACTTAGGATTTTAATCTATTCAAGTTTTAACTGCACACTTGTTAGTTGTTAGGTTGTAAGGATCACATCAATTGCACGCACAATCAATCCAAAGTAAAAAGAAGAAGAGACAAAAAAAAAAAAAAAAAAAAAAAAAAAACAGATGACACTATTTACTTTGAATCACCCCAATGTAAGTTTATATTCAGCAAATATGTGATCAGTGTCACAGTCGGGCTCCAATTTAAGCTCGGGCTAAAAGATTATATATGTATTTATTTTTCTTAATTTTAATTAGTTCATATCATAATATATTTAAATTATATTAAATACAGAAAACCTGAGCAAGCAGTGCTAAGAAGAGTTATAATTTTATCGAATATTTTTTAATTTTACTAAAAATAATTTATTTATTTTATACAAGTGAAAATTATAAACATAACCTAATATAACTTACCCAAATCTTTCACCAAAAATATTTTAAGTTTTACATAGGGCCAAATTACAAATTGTAGCCCGGGCCAAATTATAATTAATTATATATAATAAGTATAATTTGTTAAAATTTAGCCCGAGTCAAGGCCACACCCACGCTATATGTGGCTCCGCCACTGAATGTGATTATATTCTTTTCACCGCACTAGTTATGAGCTCAATTGCAAAAGAGTATAAATAATTTTAAAAAACCCTAAGCTGCAACAACTATTTATAAGCTCATACCCAAACTACTAATAATAGAAATTACAACAAACTCGAGGGCCAAAGCAATACAACATTGACCTTATACATAGTAGGAATGCAAAATAAAAGTTGTAAAGAACCAATTTAATCCAAAAACTTAAATTGTTTTACATTAATAGTTTTTATACTTTTCTAACATGCCCCCTCTTACATTAATGATTTTTATACTTCTCTAACATGCCTCCTCACACGAGAGTTCATTGGACTTAAAGGATGGATAATGCACAGGTCTAACTATCTATGCTAAGAAACTCCACAGGACTTGATTAATTATTAATTAAATAGGGGCTGTGAGAATCGAACTCGCAATAACAAGCTTTATCATATAAATTATTAATATAATAAAAAATTAATTAAACACTTAAGCTATTGAGTCAAATTACATTAATGATTTTTATACTTCGTCATACTAATAATGGTCACTAGGAAAATGTCATCCCTGATCTTAAATCTAAAGAGGGCGTTTGGTACAGGAGATAAATTTTATTACCAGAGAAATATAATTAGTGGAGAAATAGTTGAAAAATTAAATTAGTGGGAAAATGTAAAAAAAGTTGTTTGGTAGACCGGAATATTACCAGGAAAATTAACAAATATTTACTAAGACTATATTTGATTGAAAGTAAAAGATTGATGGGGAAAAATATCAAAAAACCGAAAATACCCCTTTAAAATATCGACTTTCTTTATTCAATAGAGTTGTTGTTGCAGTATCGTTGGACACCTATGATGCAACCAACGTTCGTCATGGCTGGAAATACCCCTCACAAGCTCATGTTTATGTTTGTGGAGCTATAGCTGCTGCACAAAGCATCCGCATGGCTGGATCAACTCGAGACCATGTGATAATTGTTGATGAGACATTCAGTGGATACCACAGAATTGGTTTGGAAGCAGCAAGGTCGAAGGTTAGAACAATACAGAGTTACAGAAACCCTAAAGCTGAAAAACACGCTTACAATGAATGCACCTACAGCAAACTCCATGGGATGGCAGCTTACAAATTATCACAAGATAATATTTATTAATGCAGATTTAGTCATACTCAGAAATATTTACATGGTGGATCATATTAATGAGTGGCATGTCTCACAATGGAGGGGACTATGGATATTTGATTGAAATATTTACATGGTGGCATAGGATAGCAAGACACATGAACTTCTTGAAGCATTTTTGGATTGGTGATGAGGAGGAGAAGAAACAAATGAAAACTATGTTGTTTGTTGTTGAGCCTCCAATTCTTTGCATGTTCTTCACTATCTACATTTGATGCCTTGGTTATGCTACAGGGACTATGATTGCAAGTGATGTTGCACATGAAAAGTGGTGGAAGGTGCATGATGCAATGCCTCAGCTCCGTCAAGTTTTGCTAGTTGATTTCTGTAACATCCCAAGAGCTGGCAAGGGCAGGGAGTGATCGCCGGTGCGAAAGGGCACGGACAATGAGCGGCTCATGCCAAATCTTGCAGCTTGAGGGTTCATGAATGAATCGAATCAACACCCGAAAGAGAGGGATTCCAGAGACTGTGCTGGTATGGGACAGTACAGTTAGGAATGACTTATAAGAATTAATTGGTACTACCTATACTAACAAGATGCATCTACTTTTCGGTAGCCCGGATCGGAAGAACTCCACAGTTAAGCGTGCTTGGGCGAGAGCAATTCTGGGATGGGTGACCTCCTGGGAAGTTTTCCCGGGAAGTGTGCGAGTGAGGACAAAGCACGCTGAAAAGTCTCGTGTTAGTGTGTGGGGACAGTCGTTGATTCTTGCAAGTTGTCAGGCGTTACAAGTGGTATCAGAGCAGGGCCTCTCTTCCAGTACGGTGTGGTTCGAGGACGAACCAGACGGAAGCTGGTGGGCATGTAACATCCCAAGAGCTGGCAAAGGCAGGGAGTGATCGCCGGTGCGAAAGGGCACGGACAATGAGCGGCTCATGCCAAATCTTGCAGCTTGGGGGTTCATGAATGAATCGAATCAACACCCGAAAGAGAGGAATTCCAGAGACTGTGCTGGTATGGGACAATACAGTTAGGAATGACTTATAAGAATTAATCGGTACTACCTATACTAACAAGATGCATCTACTTTTCGGTAGCCCGTATCGGAAGAATTCCACAGTTAAGCGTGCTTGACTTGGAGCAATTCTGGGATGGGTGACCTCCTGGGAAGTTTTCCCGGGAAGTGTGCGAGTGAGGACAAAGCACGCTGAAAAGTCTCGTGTTAGTGTGTGGGGATAGTCGTTGATTCTTGCAAGTTGCCAGGCGTTACAATTTCTAAACCAACGTATAGTTTGCGCAAAATAAGGAACAATCACGCCTCAGCAGTAACCAATGATACACCCCAGCAGCAACCACGCCTCATATTTCAATCTTCACTCCTTCCTGCGCAAAATAAGGATCACATAGAGGAGAGAAGATTTGATTAGCCGAATACCAGGGGCATTTGGGTAACAAAACACGTGCCAAAATTTCCACTTCCCTTGTTCTCTCCAAATACCACCTCCACGGTCGCACTTGCAAACAGTGATTTCTACAAAAATTTACACACCACGCAAGGTTTCATGGGAAAAGAGGTTCCCCGATCATTTTTGTCACACTCTTCTACCAAATGAGGCTTAATTAAAAAACCACCCCCTAAATTGCCTTAGATTCCTTGCATGAAAGGCAAGCAGAAATAAAATAAATGGAAAATATATAATTCATCATTAAAAACTTTAATAACAATTTTTTTGGGTCAATGATGTATTTGAGAACTCTAGATTCTAGATATCTAGCTTCTCTGACAAGCCACAATGTATTTCAAATACAGTGGCCATCACAATGAATAAATAGAATAAATTTTTGGTACTACTGCTGTACTAAATATTCAGTACATTTCACCAATGAAAATATTACAGCTAATTTTTTTTTTTTCTGTCAAATTTTTTTCTTTCATCTAATGTGTAATGTTCTCGTTGATAAGATGCACTGAATCTAGGTACAGGCACGAGAGCGAAAATTTATTCCCTAGATCCCTTCTCCCTCTTTCTTCCTCCTCTCTCCTCTCTCTGTCACCCGGTGCATTGATCCCGGATCGCTATATATCTGCTCCCATTACAGAAGTAGGACTGCTCTACTTCACTTGGAATCTCCATGCTGTAACCACTTTGTAGATGTGCAAAATCTTGCCCGTACTTGTTGATCAAGAAAAGTTGATCAATCGAACAAGTTTTTGGGATAACCAAAAAAGGAGCCGTGTATCTCTCTGTTTGCACCCTTCACTATCCCCCAAGATTCTATGAAGTACTCGTATTCTCTCAGGACTCGGGAGTACACAGAAATAAGACTTTTTTTTTTTTCCTAATCCTAAAATACACCACATTAATCATTTTTACACATTTTCGGAGGAACAAAAAAGTAACACTGTAAAGCCATTTTCCTTGAAAACAACACTATTCAGTTTGTGTAGTAAAAAAAAAAAGGGTTACAAGGTATATGTGGTTGGTGCATCCACACTAAATAGGGGAAAAAAAAGAAAAGAAAAGAAGATCTAAACACTGTAATTCTCAAGAGGGAATATTATCAAGGTGGCCCATGTTCCAGTAGCTAATTTCTTTTTCATAGCAGCAAACTTATTCGCTGACTCAGATTCAAGCATTTAGAGGCCCAACTTTATACACAATTTTCTTTTTGCTGCAAGGTATAGAAGGACCTAATACACTCTGGTTCATACCCCTCACACATCTCTTTCAACACCATTCATTATCTAGCCTGCAAGAAAAGAAGGCTAAAACTGTAATCATAGAACCAAATAGAGAGTGTCCAATCACTCAGTGGCCCACATTTAACCCCATGCTGTACTCAAGTTACAATTTAAAAACAGCACACACCTCTTTATCTCTCCAATAACACTTTGCATTAGTCCTACTCTCTCCATTTGTTTTGTGAAATGATGAACTGCCCAACATGGAAAACCATGGCAATGACTATTGTGTTTCTTCAGCTGAGTTTTTCCTTGGAGATCTTCTGCCTCTCTTCTCATGCAGATGCAGATAGAATTGTTCAGCTTCCTGGGCAACCCCACATAGGCTTTCAACAGTTCTCAGGATATGTCACAGTGGATGACATAAAACACAAGGCTCTCTTTTACTATTTTGTTGAATCAGAAACTGATCCTGCTTCAAAGCCTTTAGTCCTCTGGCTCAATGGAGGTCTGCAATCTCTCACTTGTTACAACTTTGTTTATGTAATGCCTCAAAAATTGAAGTGTTTAAATGTATAAGCTAATTCCTGTTCTGTACAGGACCTGGTTGTTCTTCTCTGGGAGTGGGAGCATTCTCTGAAAATGGACCTTTCAGACCCAACGGGGAAGTTCTGATTAAAAATGAGTATAGTTGGAACAAAGGTACTATAGTGAACATTACATTATTTGTGCAAGAATTGTCCCAATATGATGGAGTTCCTTGGTGATGCAGAGACAAACATGTTGTATTTGGAGACACCAGTTGGAGTGGGGTTCTCTTATGCTGAAGGTAGCTCCTCCTATGTGGCGGTGAATGATGAGACAACTGGTATCTATCTTCCATTAATATCAATTACTTTAGATCTTTGTTTTTCTTTTTCTTTTTTCTTTTTTAATCTTTTGAGACAAATAAGTTCCTCTTTAGAGAGCTTCTTTAAATCCTATGTTCTGTCGAAAAAGGCACGTACAATATGTATGATACTTGGGCTTTTAAAAAGTTGACACAAAATCACAAAACAGTGATTATTGCTAAAAATGCCACACATAACTTTTGCGTGATATGTTACTCTATTTGATTTTTCTTCATCTATTATCTATAACAGTAGCATTACAATGCTATAGTTCTGATTTCATATGCCAGTCCTTGAATACTTAAATAGTCATTATTCTATTCTGTCTTCTGAAGCAGTTACTTTTTGATTTCTTAAGCCAGGGACAATCTTGTATTCTTGCAACGCTGGTTCAACAAGTTCCCTCAATACAGACACACAGATTTGTTTCTAACAGGGGAAAGTTATGCAGGTAAATGTGTCACGTCACGTTCAACCACCATGCAGCAATCACTATTATTTGTTCTTATACATTTTTCTTAATCAAAAAATATCAGGCCATTATGTACCACAACTTGCAAAACTCATGCTTGAAATCAACAAAAAGGAGAAGATATTTAATCTGAAAGGCATAGCCGTAAGTAATATACCATTTATTTATCAAACATGCTTCTTTCTTAGACATTGCTAAATGCGAAAATTGGTCTCTTTCATTGCAGTTGGGTAACCCAGTTCTAGAATATGCCACTGACTTCAATTCCAGGGCTGAATTCTTCTGGTCTCACGGATTAATATCAGATTCAACGTACAAAATGTTCACTAGAGGTTGTAATTATTCACGGTACGTCAGTGAATACTATAGAGACTCAGTTTCACCGCTTTGTTCAAAGGTTATGGGCCAAGTTAGCAGAGAAACTAGTAAGTTTGTGGATAAATATGATGTCACCCTTGATGTTTGCATTTCCTCAGTGCTTTCACAATCCAAAGTTATTTGTCCTCAAAGCCAAGTGAGTCTTCTTTCGTGGACTTTCTCTACTTGAATCACTTTTTTTTTAACTACTTTTACTTCTGTTGCTTGTTTTTCAAATTGACTTGTTCATTATGACTTTAAGAACTTTTTTCCTCTTGCAAAACAGAAAGCAAATGAGAGTATAGATGTTTGTGTAGATGACAAAGTTACAAATTACTTAAACCGACAAGATGTACAGGAGATGCTCCATGCCAAGCTTGTTGGAGTTCGAAAGTGGGATGTGTGTAGCAAGTACTTCCTTTAAAACTCAGCCAAAATATTAAAAAATTAACTATGTTTATAGTTTATCATTTGTCAAATTAGTTGGTTACCCTAATGGAATTGGTTAATTGGTCTTTGGAACTTGAAAGACCAGCAATCAGAATCAGTTTACTTTTACTTTGTAATTAACCAAATCCAGTAATCATTGACCTGCATTGAGTTGGTTACAGCATCCTGGACTATGATATGCTCAACCTGGAAGTTCCTACACTCCCTATTGTTGGAACACTCATAAAAGCTGGAGTTAGGGTCTTAATTTACAGGTAACTAAAACTAATATTCTTCCTTCTTGTTAATTGCATTTGCTTAGTTGAATTTAAAGGGTTTGCACTTTACCCTTTATATATATGTTTTAAATGCTAGTTAACACATAATTATGTTTTGTTCTCATTATAGTGGAGATCAAGATTCAGTGATTCCACTGACTGGAAGCCGCACGTTGGTTCAAAAGCTGGCAAGACAATTAGGACTGAATACAACAGTTCCTTATAGGGTGTGGTTTGAAGGCCAGCAGGTATATACTACTTCACATGCTGCTTTAAACTGTGTTGTATCGGCATGCACAATAATGGTAGAAAGCATTTCCAAAAAAATTAAAACATTTTAGAGCATGATCCAAATTATATAATATATGTCCATCATAAACTAATTTAAGTTTATGAAACTTTGTTTAGGTTGGTGGATGGACTCGAGTTTATGGCAACATCCTCACCTTTGCAACCGTCAGAGGTGCCTCCCATGAAGCCCCTTTCTCGCAGCCTGAAAGATCACTTGTTTTATTCAAGTCATTCTTGGAAGGCAGGCCTCTACCTGAAATTTTCTGACACACCGTTTTAGTTGAGAGATTGTAAGTAATCTTGTAAAAGTTGTACTCTATAATTAGCAAAGGAATGTGTTAACTGTGCAGAATGTCAACAGAAAAATTGGTAAAAGTGACTTTTTTTATTTATTTTGTGGGCTGGGGGGAGTTCCATCAGTGGCAGTTAATTAATGAGAAAACATGAGCTCAGAGACACAAGACGTTCATCTCAAAGAATAAAACGCCTTCTATTATGATAGAAAAACTATACAACAATAATCATGAAGTTAAAAATCCTCACTCATACCTAAAACCCCTTATGTACCTTTTCTTATAAAATGTTCTCTCCTAACTCACATTGTCACATTATTTATCTTGTGTTAAGTGTTGGAGACAAATAAAGTTGCTTCAGCAATGGAACGTCATCTGTTCTAAAAGTACTAATAAAAAAGTAGCAAAAGCTATTTTAATATTTAGCTTAACAAACTACTGCTGTTCTGTTTATAAGAAGTAATAGTCACTCAGAAAACAGCAGTAAAATCCTTAAGCATTTTGCTCAGATTATAAAACTACTTCTCGTTAAATTCCAACTAGTAAGGATAGGAATGAAAACAATATTTATTTGCAGTCTTACCCTTATATATTTACAAAAAAAAATTATTTTCTGAATTCAAAACTCGGACCTTTCAATTACAAAAAGCAGTTTTATCATTATTTGCTCGCTCTCTTTAATAGGAATACTTATCTTGATCGGAAATATTAAACTCAAACCTTTTGTCCGCTAGAAAGGATTTACCATTCACTATTAAACATTCTACAGATTATCATGATGAATCAAGCAATTCTTATTTTTCATCAAAATGTACGTATCAATCATACTCGCTGCATTGACAAAGCAGATGCTTTGCTTTGTCCATAGATAACGGTATAATTTTCAAGACAAAATGGGGTACCCCGCCCCAATTTGGAATAAGAAGCTTTCCAACTGTCCGTGCTTTAATAATGGCCCTTATGAAAGACCTCCATAATGGTGTGACCCTAACTGATAAACCTTTAGTTTATCTTATTTTATAGATTAAATTAATATAAAATATCAAGTTAAATAAGTCAAAAACTAGGGTTTAATATAATAATCATGAACATTATCTGAATTTTTATTTAATTGAATCATCTTTGCTATTTTTTAGGGATTTGTTGACAAAAGGAGTCAAAAGATGAAGATTGGATAGATAGAGATCACAACTAGAAGATATGAGATCAAGAGATGATAAAGGAAGATCAAAAACAAGATAGATTTAAGATCTTATCAAGTTGTTAGAGAGGAAGCTTAAGCCTCCATCATGAAGCTTAAGCCTCCTAAACAAGCAAATAGCCTCTGCCAATGGAAGCTTAAGCCCCAATAAGGAAGCTTAAGCCTCCAAAATACGCAAAAAGTCTCGGCCTATGGGCGCTTAAGCCCCTAACTCAGGGCTTAAGCGCGCTGGAAGAAGAACTTTTAGATTGCTAAACAACTCTTGGGTGCTTGGAGGCTGAAGGAACGCGGAGAAACATCATATTCATGTTCGTGAGCGGCGGAGACGGATCAACGTCAAGTGTTCACTGGAGATTTTGAAGATCCACCAATCACCTATGGAGTTTGGGGGAGCTTTTCTATTTTCTTTTGTTCTTGATTTTGCCATGTCCGGCTAGTTCTTTAAGTAGTTAGGGTTAGATGGATTTTAGTCGATTTATTATGCTTTGAATAATTCGTATGTTAATTTTCCTTTTTATCATGAATGAAGTTATCTGTTTTTAATGCTTTATATAGGCTTGAATCTTATATAATGATCATCGGTAAATGCATGACAATAGGGATGTTGGTGTGTGATCCATATCTGATAACTTCATCGTAAACGCTATGATTCTAGGGATAGACATAGAATTTGCGTAACCTTAAGATTCTTGAACTTAATGCTTGCATTCTTGGGGAATAACCGGGGAACTAGGGTTCTTTCAAGTTTGTAAAGATTTTAGGGTAACAAGGGATTGAACTCTAATAACACGCGAAAGAATTGGTTAGATTGATATTAAGGACGGTTAACGTAAAGAAGGACTTCGAATCATAATAAGGAGATTAAAGGAAATCGAACCCCTAGCTACGTTTTTATTTTATTAGTTAAATCACATCTTTAATTTCTTGTCTTTAATTCTTGCAAGTAATTAGCTTAATATTTAATATTTTAATTTTGCAATTCAAATCCTGTTTCCAAATACACTTTCGATTGTCCAACTAAGTTTGCGATAGTGAATTAGTGCTTGAACCGTAATCCTCGTGGGAACGATCTCTTACTTAATCATATATTACTTGTACGATCGGTGCACTTGCCGTGAGTAGCAACAAGTTTTTGGCGCCGTTGCCGGGGATTACTATTTCAACATTAATAGTAGCTATTAATTCTTTAGATTGGACCTTATTTTCTGTTATTTAATTTTCTGTTATTTAAATTCAGTTTTATTTTCTTATTTTATATAATCTATTTTTCTGGTTTATGCGAGGTACCGTTGACACCGATTCCTTGCAATTCGACCCGGAGATAGAGAAAACAGCAAAAAGAAACAGAAAACTTGCTAAAGAAAGAAGACAGCAAGAGAAAGAAGCTTCAAGCTCAACAGAACCAAGAGAAGAAGCAATGGGAGACAACAATGTACCTCCACCACCTCCGAGAACGTTGGGAGATTACATGACTCCTGCTCGAGTTCCACAGACGGCGAGTATTGTTAGACCAAACGTGGATGCTAACAACTTCGAACTCAAGCCGGCACTTTTACAATTAATTCAGAAAGACCAATTTGCCGGAGGAAGCACGGAAGACCCTTACATCCATCTGGAAAACTTCTTGCTATATTGTGATACCTTGAAGATGAATGGGGTGTCTCGGGATGCTATTTTGCTCAGATTGTTCCCTTGTTCACTTAAAGACGAAGCAAGAGGATGGTTGCAATCGTTACCTCAAGGAAGCATCACCCACTGGGACGACTTGGCAAACAAATTTTTGGACAAATTTTTCTCATCTTCGAAAATGGCAAAGCTCAAGGCGGATATCACTTCTTTTGAACAAAAAGGAAGTGAATCTCTATATGAAGCATGGGAAAGATTCAAGGGATTACTTAGGAAGTGTCCCCAACATGGCATTGAAGCTTGGGAGCAAGCGAGAACCTTCTTTCAAGGGATGACGCCGAACACAAGATCATTGGTGAATGCTGCATCAGGAGGGTCCTTAAAAACAAAAACTCCAGAGGAAGCCTTAGAATTACTAGAGTCTCTAGCCTCTCAGGAGTATGATAATGCTCCAGTACCACAGAGAAGAGCGGGGATTATGAAGCTTGATGGCTATGATGCCATCTTAGCTCAGAATGAACAGATTTTACAAATTAACAAGAAACAACAAGAACAACTAGATGCTCTCACAAAGCAATTTACCAGTTCTCAAGTCTCTTCTGTTAATGATATTCAAATAACTTGTGGTATTTGTGCAGGTGCTCACGCTACTGAAGACTGCAAGGCACCCGAAACTGCAGATGTTAATGGAATTTGGCATGATCAGAAAGTTCCATATAACCCAGGGAGGAACCAATACGGCAATAACCAGAATCAAGGGTGGAGAAATAAAAATCAACATCCAGGATTCAGTTATAGCTCGAACCATCAACTGAATCCTCCTATGCCAGTGCAACAACAACCTCCACAACAATCAGAATGGGAGAAGGCCTTTGCACAACTATCCAAGACCACTGCAGATTACATTCAAAGTTCCAATAATTTCAGAGAGGACACTTCAGCCTTTATGCAAGAGACAAGGGCCTCATTCCGGAATCAAGAAGCTTCTATCCGGAATCTTGAAACTCAGATTGGCCAGCTATCAAAGCAGTTCACTGAAAGAGTTCAAGGAACTTTTCCAGGAAACACTATTCCAAATCCAAGTAGGGAACACTGCAATGTGATTACTACTGTGAGTGAGAAAGCCATTGAACCTGTGGTAAAGCCTTCAGTAGAGAAAAAGAAAGATGATGAACTTGCAACTGAAAAGGAAAAAGAAAGCTCAAGAAAGGCAAGAAAAGCCATTGGAGCTCTCACCTTATGCAAAGATTCCATATCCGCAGAGGTTCAGAGAGGAAATCAAAAAGCAGCAGTATTCCAAATTCCTTGACATTTTCAAGAAGCTGCAAATCAATATCCCGTTTACTGAGGCCTTGGAGAACATGCCCAATTACGCAAAGTTCATGAAAGATCTTCTATCACGAAAGCGTAAGCTACAAGAATGTGAGACGGTGACGCTGACAGAGGAATGCAGTGCCATTATCCAGAAAAAGTTGCCTCCAAAGTTTAAAGATCCAGGAAGATTCAGCATTTCATGCAACATAGGCAATATGGAAGTGAAAAATGTTCTATGTGATCTCGGTGCCAGCATCAATGTGATGCCACTATTTATGATGAAGAAACTGGGGATCACTGAAGTAAGGCCAACCAAGACAATAGTTCAACTGGCTGA